TCTAAGAGTCAGTAATTTACAGTCAGAGTTTTAAAATAATTGTTCTTCTATTTTAGAAGAATTTTAGAAAATGTTCAAGGTACCACAGACAATTCCCTTATGCCTCTCTTTTCTAACATTACTATAGTGAATTTGTCATAACTAATGAATCAATAATGATGGATTATTATTAACTAGTGCTCGTACTTTATTTGTATTTTCTTAGTTTTTATTTCAGTTCTTTTTCTGTTCCAGAACCCAGTCCTTAGTTTCCTAGAATTAGAGCCTTTAGGTTCATCTAGACTTGTGTCAGTTTCTCAGGTTTTCCTTGCTTTTGATGACCTTACAGGTTTCAGGAGTACTGGTCAGATATTTTATAGAATATTCTTCAATTGAAATTTCTCTGATGTTTCTGATATGATTACTAGGGTTATAGAGAGGAAGACCAAGGGGGTGCGATTCTATTTACATCACATAAAAGAACATATACTTGTACATTAAACCAAACATGAATTCATACCTATGCCTCAAATTTTCTTCTAATATATTTGGTTTATTCTAGCATTCTCCATTTGCTTATGTCTAATCCCCCATTTCAATGAGCAGAAAACTCGTTCCCACTATCTGCCATCCTCTTACTGATTTGTTCAATCCCACCATACATGTTTACTGGTTTCAGAATTGCTCTCCATGGCAAACAGTTTCGGAGATGTTTCCCATGGGAAACCACTTTACCAGTTATAGTGCTTATATATACTTTCTCTTGTCTTTTATGTTATGTATAGCCTCCAATTCTTTTCCAAAGTTACTTAGGTTAACTCCTTTTCTCTTAGGTTAACTCCTTTTCTCTCCACCTTTTTAGTAAGGTTTATCATACATCTGTAACAGAGTTAAATCCTCTTTGGTCAAAGTCTGCATTCCATCCTAGGAAACCCAATCTCCTAAATAATTTTTTTAAAAAACTTGTTATACATGATGGTCCACTCTTTGTTCTATAGTGTCATGTATCTGCTACAATAGTATTACAGAAAAGTATTTTACAACCTTAAATAATTTCCTGTGTTTCACCTATTCAACCATACCCAACCTCCTGGAGACCATCAATCTGTTCTTCATTTCTGTAATTTTTCCTCTTTGATAACATCACACAATGGGCATATAGAGGATGTAACCTTTCCCTCTTTGCTTCTTTCTCTTAGCAATATGCATGTATGATCCATTCATACTGTTGCACGATTGATAGTTCATTTCTTTTTAAAACTGAATAGTATTTTACTGTGTGAATGCACCCCAGGTTGTTCATCCATTTGCCTACTGAAGCGCTTCCTTGTTGCACCCAGTCTTTTGTGATTGTGAATAATTCTTCCATAAACTCTGTGTGCATCTTTTTATGTGGACATAGTGTTCAAATGATTTGGATAAGTATCTATAATGATGATTATTGGTAGTTTGGTAAGACAATGTTTAGCTTTATAAAACATTGCAAATCTCTCTGTACCATTTTCCATTACCACCAGCATAAATGAGAACTACTGTTGTTCTGCATCCTTGCCAGCAGTTAGTATTATCCATTTAGGTTTGTTTGTTTGGGTTTGGTTTGGTTTGTTTATTGGCCATCAATGATGAATGATTTGAACATCTTGTCAAATGCTCATTTGCCATTTGTTTATTTCTTCAGTGAGGTGTTTCAGATTTTTTGCCCATTTTAAAATTGCGTTGCTTTCTCATAAGTGAGTTTAAAGAATGCAATGTATATTCTTAATACAAATCTTTTATCAGATGTGTAATTTGCAAATGTTTTCCCCAAGCATATGAGTTGTCTTTTTATTCTCTTGACATTAACTTTTGTAGAACAAAATATTTAATTTTCATAAAGGTCAACTTTAAACTTTTTCTTTCTGGATTTGCTTTCAGTGTTACAGTAAAAATTTACCATCAAACCCAATGTCATGTAAGTTTTCTCCTATGTTTGCCTATAGAATGTTACAGTTTTGAGTTTTACATGTAAATCTATGATCAATTTTTATTTTTGTGTATATCATGAGGTTTGTTCTTGTTTATTTTTTCTTTCTTTCTTTTTGCATATGGATGTCTAATATTTTCAGCATTATTTGTAGGTTGTTGCTCTTTCATTGATTTATCTTTGTTCTTTTATAAAAGATCAGTGCATTATATTTGTGGGGATGCCTTTCTGGGTCTTCTGTTCCACTTATCAACATGTCTATATTTGTGACAATGCCATGCAGTCCTGTTGAGGCTGGCTTTGCAGCAGGTCCTAACATCGAATAATATGAGTACTTTAACTATGACCATCCATTTCAGAATTGTGTTGGCTATTCTAGATCCTTTGGCTTTCTGTATCAATTTAGACCCACTTTGTCAATATCTGCAAAAAAGTGCTAGGATTTTGATAAGGATTGTTGAATCTTTAGATAAAGTTAGGAAGATTTGGCATTTTAACAAAATTGTCTTCCAATCCATGAACATGGAATATCTATATAAATATATAAATTAAATTTATAAATTAAATAAATAAATTTATAAAATAAATAAATATATAAATTAAATTCCATTTAATTAAATATATTTATATATTTAAATTCCATTTAATTAAATCTCCTTTGACTTCTTTCTCTGGTGTGTCTTTTTTTTTTTTTCTTTGAGACAGAGTCTCACTTTGTTGCCCAGGCTAGAGTGAGTGCCATGGCGTCAGCCTAGCTCACAGCAACCTCAATCTCCTGGGCTCAAGCCATCCTCCTGCCTCGGCCTCCGGAGTAGCTAGGACTACAGGCATGCGCCACCATGCCTGGCTAATTTTTTGTATATATATATTTTCAGTTGGTCAATTAATTTCTTTCTATTTTTAGTAGAGATGGGGTCTTGCTCAGGCTGGTTTTGAACTCCTGACCTTGAGCGATCTGCCTGCCTCGGCCTCCCAGAGTGCTAGCAATATAGGCGTGAGCCACCAAGCCCGGCCTGGTATGTCTTTTTTCTACACATATATCAGATATCTATTTTGTTAGATATATAACTAAGTCTCTAATTTTTTGTGTGTTGTAATTTTAAATGGTATATAAATTTTAATTCAAATTCTTCATTGCAGATATACAGAAAAGCAATTGACTTTCATATATTGATCTTGTGTCCTAAGAATTTACTATATTTGCTAACTTCAGGATTTGTTTCTGTTTTTATCTAAATAGATTTTTCTTCTGTATATATTATATTTTATTTGGAAATAAGAGGCTTTAACATCTTTATTTACAATATATGTTTTTATTTATTTATCTTTTATCACTGTACTGGCTAGAGCTTCCAGAAAAATAATGAACATGAGTGGTAGGAGAAAACATCCTAGCCTGTTCTCTATCGCAGAGGGAAAATGTTCACTGTCTGGCCATAGGTAGGATAAGGCCATAGGTAGGATACTTTAAGTCTTCTAACACATACCTTTATTATATTAACATAGTCCCCTTTTATTCCTAGTATGCTTTGAGTTTTCTTTTTGGAAATCATGAATGGGTGGCGAATTTTGTTAAATGCTTTTTACATCTATTGGTATGATCATATAATATTTCTTTAACTTTTGTATGTGGATATAATCTTCATGTGATAAAATTTACTTGTTTACATGTATGATTCAGTGGGGTGTTTTTAGTGTATTCACAGAAATATGCAAGACATCACTAATTCCAATACATTTTATTACCTCCAGGAGAAACGCCTCGCCCATTAGTAGCTACCCCACACTTTCCTCTCAGTTTCTGGCAACTGCTAATGTTGCATATCCAAGACATTCCACATAAATGAAATCATAGAATATGTGATATCTGTTTTCAATTAGCTTAATGTTTGCAAGTTTCGTCCATCAACTTATGCTTAAGTTACATATATTATGAGGGTGTGGTTTATACTCAGCAGTTCAATAAGTCTATGTTCATCTTAGTTACCAGAAACTCATTAATTTAAAAAATGCTACATATTATTATTGGTTCCCAAAACATATCAGATTTTGCTACTACATCACAGAACCTTCCAGGGAAGCTAAATAACATAACTGATGTCAGACAAGTAAGGCAAGTGTATAAAATTAGAGGTATATTTTTCAAAGAGAAATCATGATGAAAGAACAAATAGTAGTAAGTTTTATGTTTGGCTTGAATCTCAGACCAGGTATGTCCAAATACATTGCTGTTTTTCCTGATTTTCTGATGCTTTTAAATGTTGTCTTATTTAGGAAATCACAGTCAAGTTCAGCAGGATGGGATCAAAAATAAAAAGTCTTTTAGGTAAAACACACACAAACACACACACACACACACACACACACACACACACACATTTGCATCTAATCCAAGACAGGTGTGGTGAGCAACTTGGAATCCCATTATTGTCTCTCATGAAGACTTAAATGTATTACAAGTTGGTTTAGGATAGTAGTCTCTATATTGGAAGAAAAACAAAACTCAGTGAATCTGAAAAAGTAAATGATGTCACCTTTGTTCAGTTGTCATTATAAATTGTTTATTAAGAATCCACTATTTGAAAACTCTCTACCATGTTTGCTGTATATTTTTGCATTGATATAAATCTAAATATGTAAACAAATAAGCACAGTTTTCATAAAATTTTGATATTTTAAGCATCTTATTGACAATTCCAAGAAAGGGTTTAATTCTCCAAATTCTTATGTTTAAAACTGAAAAAAAAAAAAGAGAACAAAGAAGTAAGTGTAAGGAATCATTATCTTGAACCTAGAAATTAGGGCTTTAGTCATTTTCAACAAAAAGACATGTCCACATTCCGATTTTTTGTCTATACATTGACCAAATACTGTGTTCTACATCTCATTTTTGAAATAATTTTCATGAATTAAACATTTTATTAAAATTTCCTATCCTTATATGTTCTGGGCACAACACAATTGCTTAAAGCAAAAGTTCACGTTTTTGTTTACACTCTCAGAGTGCTGGCATAAAATTTGATGCTCTCCAGAATGGATTGTGATGTCGGCAGATTCCAATAAGTCCATGAGCAAGTGTCTTTCCTGCTGGCCTCACTGACAGCTTAAATTAATGAATGGTAAGGATCAAACTGATGCTTGAGATTCCAAGATTCTTTGAGTCTAAAATCTCTGACTTATTCTGCTTGTTTTTACCTCTACCATTCCATTTAAGCTGATCTAAGAAAGTAAAAAATAACTCAAAAAATTGCCTAACCCCAAACCTTCTTTTTGGTCATACATTCAAGAAACTCTGAAAAATATTCAACATAGCCATCTACACTCTACTTCTTAAAACCTGCTTTTTCTTTTTCTTTTTAATTTTAGGGGGATAAAAAGAAACAAACCTGGGCAATCTCGCTCGGTTTCATTCAATCACTTCCTACTCAAAACTAATTTTTTGAGTAATTAATATTGTTGCTGTATAGTATTTTAATATAAGAGTCTATTAATTGATGAGCATTCAAGTTTTGTTTTGCATGAATAGTATTACTAAGGACATACATGTTCACTGCAGGAGAGAATACATACATGTATTTCTGGTATCTGTATACTTATATAAGAGAAACTGAAGAAGTGATTTGCACATATTTACTTTAGTAAATAACATAAAAGAATTTTCTGGAGTGGTTGTACAAATTCATAGTCTCAATTTTGCATAAGAAGTTTGTTTCTCTACATCTTAGCCCACATTTGCTATTGTCAGGCTCCATAATTGTAGATATTCTGTTGCACACAGAATGATTTCTCATTAAGCTTACATTTGCATTTCCCTGATGACAAAGAGGTGAATACCTTCTCATATGTGTTTTGAACATTTGGGTCTTTTCTGAAGCCCATGCACAAGACTTTGTTCTTATTTCTATTGTGCTGTCTACCTTCTTTATGTAGATTTTTAAAGTGTAGAACAAAGTTGTTTAGCAGGGAATGTTAGTTTTTTCTATTCTCTGGAATTGACTGTGTCCTGTCGACTTCATTTCCTACTTAAAATTTTATGTCAGTTTATCAGTGATGCCAGCTGGGCCTAAAATCACTTTGTGAATCCTATTAATTATGAATTTGATTTTACTAATAGCTATAACTATTCAAGGTTGTTTTTTTTTTTTTGTATCTCCCTACATCATTATTAGTAAATTTTGGTTTTGTAGGGATTCATAATTTCATTTAAATTTTCATTGCCATAATATTATTCATAATACCCTTTTATCTCTTCAGTAGCTGTAGGATCTGTACATATTTCTATTTTTTATCCCCTTAATCACTTTTTTCCTTGTTCAGATATATTAAAGATTTATTAATTTTATTTGCCTTTTTGGAAAGAAACAACTTTCTGTTATATTGTATATTAAATGTTTATTTTTTTATTTTAGTAATTTCTTCCCTTATCTTTATTATTTCATAAATTTTCTATTAATTTTCTATATTGCTGTAATAGATAACCAGGCTTTTGATTTTATAATATTTTTGTTTTATACATATGCTTATATGCTTTTAGCCCTACACATTTTTTTTCCTAAACATGATTTAAGCTGTACTGGATATATTTTACTGTATATTTATTATCACTCAGTTATAAATAGTTTCTGATTTTTATTGAGGCTTCAATTTTATCTCATGGATTATTTCAAAGAACATTTATTAATGTTCATTGTCTGTGGACTCCTCTGTTTCTGTTAATAAGTCAACTGCTAGTATTATTGGTGCTTTTCTGAGAACAAGGCTTTGGCTTCATATTGTTTTTCCTGTTCATCTTTTAAGGATTTTTTTTTTTTTTTACTTTTAAGTTTTCAGTAAGTTTTCCATGATGTGAAATACAATTTTTTGTTTCATTGTATTGATATCTTGCTTCAATTTTGGAGAATATCTACTTACATGACTTCAAACCATGGTTCTAAAAGAAATCATAGTGCACTATTTTCATATATTTTGGACAGGATAAATATCTGCCTCACAGAAGTGTTAGATCCGTTTACCACATATTGAACTTAGGCTCTCTTTTTCCCCTGTGTTTTTATCCTGTGATTTTCCACCCAGTTTCAATCTGAGTACTGTTATTTATCTTCCAGCTAATGACTCCTCTCTTTAACACTGTCCAATCTGCTGTCCAAACCTATCAGTTGAGATATTTTCAATAGTATTTTTGTATTTTTATGGTTCTTAAACATCCATTTGAATTTTTATATAATTTCCAGGTGTCTGATGAGATCATGCAACTTTTCATCTTATTTAATGAACATATCAATCAGATATTTCAAAAGTCCATTTCTTATAAGTCCAATATTTGACTCTTCTATATCTGTCTATTATTATCGATTTTCTTTGATTTTTGAGTTATGTTTTATCTTTTTAGATTCTTAGATATTGTTAATCAAGTATAAATCATTGTGAATAAAATGTTGCTGGGATAATTTAAGAAACTGAGTGATGTTATATTGGTCTAGGAAGGATTTACATTTGTTTCTAGCAGACAGTTAAAGTAGGGACAGATGATCATATTATAATCTGAGATTGACAATACAATCCTTTAGGAAAGCTGACCTACATCTTCAGGATAAGAATTCAAAGCTTGAGAAACCTATTCTCCATTTTTTGTCCCCCATGAGACTATCAAAACTCTGCTTAAGTTCAGTGTCTCAGTCTCTGATTTCTTCTTAACTTCTCATCTCCTAAGTATCAGCTTTAGAATCATTATGTAACAGATCTAAAAATAAAACAAAAAAGTAAAACTTTTATAATTTTCAAAGATATGTTTGCACACATAGAAAAGCCTGTGGATTCATGTATTAGTACTAATTTAACAAGATTATGAAATATCACATCATTGTTTAAAATCTCAATCGCAGTTCTATACTGAGCTTCCAGAGCGACTGCCACTCTACAATCTGAAGAGGCAGGCATATTCAGAGTCACAGCTCAGACCGGTTACCTGGAGCAAAAAGCTCCTGGGCCATAAACTGGTAACATTTAAAATGGTAATGTTGAACAAACTGCTGGAGGCTGAGTGTGGCATGACATTCAGTATAATAGTGTGACACTCTGGAGGTCTGATGTTTTAGGGAGACCCCGCACTTTTGTGAGTGGACATTACTTCCAGGAAACCTACTGGATTCTCAAGGAGAAGATCCAAGAAAGAATCCCTTTAGGGATCTGGCAGGAGGCAGGCAGGGGAAGAATTATCTACGGGAAAGAACCAGAGCTTTCTCCACAGCAAAGACTGAAACTGGAGGGGCTGGGGGAAGACCTTACCAATGTCAGGTCCCAGAGCTATACGAGGAGGCATTTTTCTCCGGCAAGCCCACTGTCTCATCTAAGAGTAGTTACAGGCATAGCAGAGACCACATATACAGTGGGCCCATAAGATTATAATGCAGTTGAAAAATTCCTGTCACCTAGTGAGTTGTAGCCATTGTAAAGTCATAGCACAGCAATTACTCATGTGCTTGTGGTGATGCTAGTATAAACAAACCTACTGTGCTACCAGTTGTATATAAATATACTGTAATGGAAACAAAGCCCTGAACAAAGAGCAAAATGTTTTATAAGCTGTCTCTTTAAAACTTCCCTCACTCTTCTTGGGAGTTAAAACTTGCATCCCTGCCAGAGGCCAGTAATCAGGAGGGCAGTGGGGTGTCCTTTGTTTCTTTGTACCACAGGAGGTGGCTCAACAGAATTGTCTGGGCAGAGGTCACAGTTGTCTTCGCTGGACATGGGGTTGATCAGGATGATCAGCTTTAGTTAAACAGTAATAGACTGAAGCTGAAATCCCCCTCTCTTTAAAAGCTCTGTATTTCTCCTTGTCAACGGAAAAGAAGCCAAGCTATGTAAAATAATTTAAAGAGATTTATTCTGAGCCAAATTGGAGGACCATGACCTGGAGCCACCTCCAAAAAGCGTTCAGCAAGTGGACTCGCTGTGGTTGGGTTACAGTTTGGTTTTAAACTTTTGAGGAAGACAGCGGTTACAGGTAAAGTCATAAAGCAATACATGGAAGGCATTCATTGTTTTGGCCCAAAAAAGTGGGCCATTTCAAAAGCTATACCTGTATAGCCTTACAGGTTATAGGTGGGTTTAAAGACTCTTTGACTTGTAATTGGTTAAAAAATGGATGTTTTCTAAAAAAGGCTTGGAATGTTTTAAGGGAGTCTGTTAATCAGAGAAAAGTTACTGGCCATACATTTGTTGCAAAAATTTAGGACCTGCAAGTTTGTCTTGCATGGCCTTAGGCCTGTTAATGAGTTACAAAGGATATCTCCAAGAATGGAGGGGGGCATGATGACCATGTTTGACCTCCTTCATCCTGGCAGGCAATTCAGTTTTAGGGTATCCCCTTGGCCAAGAAGGGTCCTTTTAGTCAGCCAATGGGAGGGAGCCATAAGATTTTATTTTAGTTCACATGATTATAGTTAGTGCAATGGTACTTTAAGACAAGAGTCTCCCACCTTCTTGTATGGCTAATGCAGATGACAGCCCTGCTATTTCAAACACACTTGGAAAGGAATAGAATATAGCTCATATTTGCATCACACAATTATGTAAGTATTTATGCCTATAAACCCTAACTCTTTTTTTTTTTTTTTTTTTTGAGACAGAGTCTCGCATTGTTGCCCAGGCTAGAGTGAGTGCCGTGGCATCAGCCTAGCTCATAGCAACCTCAAACTCCTGGGCTCAAGCAATCCTCCTGCCTCAGCCTCCCGAGCAGCTGGGACTACAGGCATGCACCACCATGCCCGGCTAATTTTTTCTATATATATTAATTGGCCAATTAATTTCTTTCTATTTATAGTAGAGACGGGGTCTCGCTCTTGCTCAGGCTAGTTTCGAACTCCTGACCTCGAGCAATCCGCCCGCCTCGGCCTCCTAGAGTGCTAGGATTACAGGCGTGAGCCACCACGCCCGGCCTCTAACTCTTTTTAACATAATGAAATAAGTCACTTTTTAAATATTTGTCTTTTCTAAACACTCAACTCTCTCTTTGGCATTTTCCATAGTAAGGTAGCTAAGAACAATGAAAACAAGAGCTTTCTTACAATAGTCCAACTTTTCCTTGGATTAACTGATCATTTAAAATGTGTCAGACACTTCTTCAAATATTTCTGAAACAAAGAATATTTTTTTCTGCTTAAGAATACATTGTTGACTTGTGATGATATAAAGGATATATGTTTTAAAAAATCAACTTCTTTTCTTTGACTCTCCTGCAAAAAATTTTAACAACTAAGTAATCAAAAAACTAAACTGTTAGATTAGCAAATACACCTTTTTATAGGATCATAAAATAGTGATGGAAGTAATATAGACCCAGATAATTGTCTCCTCTGCTTGAAAAATATAAACACAAACCAACCAAAAAGCAAGTAATCAACTAATCTCAGTTGATATAAAATTTTGTTTTTCAAGTGGCAGTATTAAGCATGTTATAATACTCATTTGTTCAAATGTGTGTCTTCATGAGTAACTCAAAAATCTCATAGAAAAACCTTACCTAAGACCAACTGTGTACATGTTACAAGAATACCTAAAACCAAAACCAGGAACAAACAAAAAGTGTAGAACAAACAAACAAACAAACAAACAAGAAATAATATCATGGGACATTTCCTCATGACTAAAGGTGGAACTCTCTTTCTATTTTAAGGCAATTGTTATTTAATTTTATTCTAATAGGTATATAGGATTTCATCCTCCCATCCCCCACTAATATTGCTAATGTTTTAGCATTGCTGGAAGTAGATCTATTTACCAGATCTAATGATATACTGTTGGTAGCTTGGTCTTCTCTTTGGATGTCTAACGTTGACCCTTCACATTTCAGCATGGAAAGGCTCAGAAGGTATCACACAGCACTGATCATGCTCTCATAGTAGAGGTGAGTACAGTATCTTGCTTTGTGGATGTTTGTGTATAACTCAACCAAAAAATTAAAAATAATCTTAGAAAGAATCCATTTGGAACATTAATATTAAAAAATTAGTAACTCTCCCTATGGACAAATGAAGGCATATTTAAGAAGACATCCAAACTAACTAAGCAGAAATGACTTACAAATAAAATCTTGCTGTATGATTGAAGTAATAAATGATTGGAAAATTCTGAGCATGAATAATAATTTGAACCAGAACTAAAGTCACTAAATCCTAGTCTACTGCTCCATTTATGACAGGGGTTGGCAAACTATAGCTCACTGGCTATTATTTCAGCTATCACTGTTTCTATAAATAAAATTTCATTGGAACACATCCATGTCCATTAATATAGATATTGTCTCTGGCTGCTTTTGCACTGCAACAGTGTAGTTGAGTTGTTTCGACAGAGAGTGTATGGCCCACATAGCTTAAAAATATTTACTATCTGGTCTTGCACTGAAAAAAAGTGCCAATCTATGAAGTGCTATTACCAACCTAATAGGAATCACAAATGAGAGTCATGAAATCCACATGGAGTCCACAAATGTATTTTGGGGGCTACATTTTTTTTATAACATTAAAAAAATTCATTACTATTAGTTTTATTTGTGTGTTTTTACAGGGCATTCTACCTTCAGTTACACAAAGTCCTTAATGTTATTGTCTAATACACACATCTCTCATTTACCATACCAATTTTAGTCATTTACCTTAACCATCTATCTGATGAAGAAATTTCAACTCGAAAACCTTGATGTAGAAAAATAATCACAAATGTGGCAGCATATAATGAATATGGATATATAACATGTCCTTGCATATGATTTAAGACATAAACATGTAGTGTAAGAAATAAAATCTAGATAAAATGAGATATTGATTTAACTTCTAATTATGGTTTAGGCAATGATAAATTAAAAGTAAAGGCAATTTGATTTAGTCAGTTCAACAAATATCTACTGAGAACATTCCCTACTTTATTTCAATATGCATTAGATATTACTTTCATATCAATTATTTTTTTAATTTCCATGCCTGTTTATGATACCATTCTGGACTTCAGCCTCAATAGATGAATCTGTTGTGATCCAACCCCATCTGTATTGCCGACATAGGACTTCACTGTTGATATCTTCACTTGCTGAATAGTACAGAATGCATCATGTCATGTGGTTAGTCTCACCAAAGAAAATATGACCAATAGCCAATACAATAACAACTGCTGTTCCAAAGATATATTAGAAAACCATTATTGGGCTCAAAATATATAATATTATGTTCCATTGCAATTTGTGACACTCCTATTATAATAACATTCACTCTTGTATTTCAAAGCAATCTCTCTGTTTCTCTCTCTCTCTTGTCTGCATATCTATCACATAATACATAATATAACATGATATTATGCAATACAATACCATATGGTGTAATATAACAGGGTATGGTATACAATATGTATATTCTACATTATAAGTATTATAATTTGTAAAGGTGCTCACATTGTTATTACCACCATGAGGTAAGGGTAAACTCTTGAAAATTAAGAAAAAATTAAAAGTTCTCAGTATATAAATATAAAATATAAAATCAAAATAAATGGAAATTTAGAACTGAAAAACCTAATAGCTGAAAAGCAAATTAATGAATGGCTTCAATAGCAGAATGGAGATGACAGAAGAATGAGTCAATACATGTGACTATCTTAGATCAATACAAAATATTCAATATGAAGAACAGAGACAAAAGACTGAAAAAACCTCAGGGTTAGAGTTTTATCATAAAAGTGTGCTGGATTTTGTCAAATGCTTTTTCTGCATCTTTTGAGAGAATCGTATGGTCTTTGTTCTTACTTTTAGTTATGTGGTTAATTGCATTTATAGATTTACATATGTTGAACCATCCTTGGATTTTGGGGATAAAGCCCACCTGGTCATGGTGAATTATTTTCTTTGATGTACTGTTGGATCCAGTTTGCTAAGATTTTGTTGAAGATTTTTACATCTATATTCATGAGGGGTTTTGGTCTGTAGTTTTCTTTTTTTATTGTTGTTGTGTACTTTCCTGTCTTTGGTATCAAGGAAATATTGGTTTCATAGAATGAGTTGGGGAGAATACCATCCTTCTCAATGTTGTGGACTAATTTTTGCAGTATAGGTATGAGTTTGTCTATGCTTCATATGGAACCAGGGAAGACCTCATATAGCCAAAGTGATCTTAAGCAAAAAGAACAATCTGTATCAATCTACCACACTTCAAGCTTTACTACAAGGCTGTAGTAATCAAAACACCGTAGTATTGGCACAAGAACAGAGATATAGACCTTTGGAACACGACTGAGAATCCAGATATAAAACCATCCTCATATTGTCATCTAATCTTCCACAAAGCAAACAAAAGTGTACATTGGGGAAAAGAATACCTATTCAATAAATGGTGCTAGGAAAACTGAATAACCACATGCAGAATATTAAAACTGGATCCCCTTATTTCACCTCTCACAAAAACCAACTCATGGTGGATAACAGACTTAAACCTAAGGTGTGAAACCTTAATAATTCTAGAAGAAAATGTTGTAAAAACTCTTATAGACATTGGCCTAGGCAAAGAATTATGAAGAGGATGCCCAAAGCAATCACAGAAGCAAAAAAAATAAATACATGGGTCCTGATCAAATTAAAAAGCTTCTACACAGCCAAGGAAACTATCTTCAGAGAGAATACACAACTTACAGAATAGGAGAACATATTTGCATGCTACATATCTGATAAAAAAAGCTTTAAAAAGAATCTATATAGAACTTAAGAAATTTAACAAGAAAAAATTCAAAGAACCCTATCAAAAAGTGGGCAAAGGAAATGAACTAAAACTTTTCAAAAGAAGACAGAATAATGGCCAGCAAACATATAAAAATGTGCTCAGCATCTCTAGTCATTAGGGAAATGCAAATCAAAACCATAATGAGGTATCACCTAATTCCAGTGAGAATGGTCTTTATCAAAAAGTCCCGAAACAACAAATGCTGTTGTGGATTTGGAGAAATAGGAACACTCTTGCACTGCTGGTAGGACTGCAAATTAGTGCAATACCTGTGAAAAGTAATTTGGAGATATGTCAAAGAGCTAAAAAGAGAAATACCATTTGATCTAGTAATCGCACTACTGGCCATCTATCCAAAGGGGAAAAAAAAAAAAAGGCATTCCATAAGAAAGAAATCTGCATTCAAATGTATATGGCAGCACAATTCACAATTGCAAAGATGTTAGAACCACCCAAGTGCCCATGAATACATGAATGGATTAATAAAATGTGGTATTTGTACCCTGGAATACTACCAATTACAAAAAACAATGGTGAACTAGCAACTCTTATATCATCCTGGATAGAGCTTCAGCACATCCTTTGAAGTGAAGTATCACAAGAATGGAAAAAGAGGCACCAAATGTACTCATCATCAAATTGGCACTAACCAATCAATACTAAGGTGCTCATATGGAAGTAATATTCACCTGGTGCCAGTCAGGTGGGAGGGGGACATGGGGGTGAATCAATTCACAACTAATGTATGCAGAGCACACTATATTGGGGAAGGGCACGCTTGTAGCCCTGGCTTGGGCTAGGCAAAGGTATTATATGTAACCAAATATTATGTAACCCCATAAGATTCTGAAATAAAAAACAATTCAGACATATTCACTTGTATGAATAGTATTTCATTTTCTTTTTATTGTTAGAAATGACTTTATATACATAAAATAATATTATGAATGTATAAATGTGATGATGTTACAATATTGTTTTCTTTACTTGGTCAGTCTTCCAGCCCTTCAGCCTTATTCCCCTACCTCCAACTCATATTAATAACCTACTAATGTATCTAATTAGAGCATAAATGTAAGAGCCTATATTCTTCCCATTTCAGTGCTACTACTTCTTGTAAACTGTGTAACCTTGAAAAAGTTGCATAAATTTTCTGTGACTCAATTTCTTCATGTCTAAATGAAGATCATAAAATCTACCTTAAGAGATATGAGAATTAAATGAACTACTATATGTCAAAATTAAATAAATAAACAAACTTACTTTGAAATGTCCATAGAATAGAAATGCATATCATATAAGGGAATACTAGTAAGTATTTGCCATTATTTTCCAGACATGTGGCACATCCTGGGAACTCAGAAATAAATAAAATAACCCTTCCATAACAAGCCTAGGATGTTCACCTGTTTAGGGATTTGTCATTCCGGGGCTTACAAGCAGCAGATACCAAGATTAAATTAGTTACATTACAAGTCTATGGGAGGAGATCTGTGAAAGATAAAATGGGAGGGAGCCAGGGAAAGGGGCCCTTCAGCCCAGATGTGTGTTTGACATTCAGAGAAAGGAAACAGATGTGAGGAGGATTGAGCAGGAATGCTTCAGACTGCACCACAGTTCAGAGCCAGGCTGATGCTGGGTGGCTGCGCAAAGATTGCCGATAGACTCTTCTAGGTCAGGCAGAAACAGTTTGGCCCTGGCACTCCCACCTTTTTCAGCCACCGCCTTGGAGTGGCCCAAAGGATGTGTGAGTGCCATGGCCATGCAAGCTCCATGGTGGATCTGAAGGTGCATCATCGTGAGGCTGTCAATTCTGCTTCCCATGGCAAGTTCTCTTGAAGGGGCATCTGAGCATCACAAATCCATGGTCACCACGTGGATTTCTCTCAAACCTATGCATTCTTGTTGAAGAATAATGGCATTCTATCATTTGCCACATATCAATCTTCAAAAATGTTCTCCATTGATATCTCGGTTTTTACTCATCTTCATCATAAAGTTCTCAAGTAGAGAGAAAAACCAAAGGAGCAGGCAATAGCTATGATGAGAACAAGATGAACATTTGTAGGCACTTCAGCTATCACATATCATTGCAAGTTCATGACAGAGAAACACCACAAACAGACAGGTGGACAGACAGACAAAC